AGGAGTTATAAACAAAGTGAACCTTAGCCCAAACCACCACACGCGCGCGTCGCCGCTGTCCGTCCGACCGAGCCATGCCATGCCGGGTGTGGGTTGTGGGTCGGGTCAATTCTTATATTAATTTTTTGGAGAAAATTTATTTGAATTTTTTCAAAAATTCTTTACGAAATTAATTCAAAACTTGAATTTAATTTTTTGACCTTTGTTACCTCTTCCAGTCCATTTTTCCAAAACAGATTAAACTGTTCAAACAGTTTTCAAATTTGTTTGAACCTGGACAGATTCATTTCTGCCAGACAGGTCTTTTAACTGCAGCAGTTTTCTAACAGATAGAAACTGTTAGGCAGTTACCTGTTTGTACCTGTTCATTTGTTTCCTTAACAGATTAAAATTTTGAACAGATTTAAAACTTTTTTTTGACAGGTTTATAACTGCCAGAAATTGCCTAGCAGTTTCCAGCAGTTGATAGATTAAACAGTGGCAGAACTGTTCAAATTTTGAGTCTGTATCTGTTTAAAATAGTGTATACTTGTTCAGTCAAAATTTGTACTTGTTTGGACAGATCTTTTGGCCTATAAATTCCAACATTTTCCAGCAGTTTGGGGTTGGGGAAATATCCAGAAAAATTCATTTTGTTGCCTTCATTTTACTTTCTTGCATCATTATTCTTCATACTAGTTTTAGAATAAAATTTAGAGAGTTAAGAACACAGGTTTGGTTCGCCGTACAAATTGTTTGGAGTGTTACTACAATTTGTGAAGATCATTGTATCCTAGGAGATAGACGCCTTTATCCGTAAGCACCATAGCGGGGCGAATCTGTCTTAAGGACAGAGTGTCACATACTCGACTTGATTTTTTAAATATTCATTTCGGTTCGGTAAAATAAATTCTGTAAGTTATTAATTTTATTTATTTGATTTAGTTTTCATTTATTTATTGTACACAAAAGATTGTTCCAACACTTCTATCTACTGTCACTGTATTGCATCTCTTTATTACTGCCTCTGTTGGTCTCTATTGTATATGACCAAGCCATCTCAATCTATTCTCTCTCAACTTATCTTCTATTGGTACTACTCCTATCCATTTTCGAATATATTCATTTCTAACTCTATCTTTTCTAATCTTGTCATATTTTGTGAAAATAATTGGAATAAAATGATTTGGTAGTTTTCAAATACAATTCCCTCGACTAATCAGGTCAAGCACATGGGATAAATGGAGTTGATTTTATCTCAAGTTGGGTGAAGTCATCTCTCTCATTTTATTGCTAAACTCGTTATTATATTTATGAGTTTGAGGATACTATATCATTTTTTTCGATAATATATATTTTATATGAAAAAAGAATACTTATTCAAAACCTATTTTATTTTATTTTTTTCAAAACTATGTCTAAAGTTGTACCTTAACTAATTTCTCGAATATATAATCTCTCATCTCATAAATATGAGGTTAGTTGGCCACCACATTTCTATTTCGGACATTAGCGGGACAAATCTTATTATATGCAAGGATTGATGAAATCTTCCCCTTGTGGGGGCACTCTCGTAGGTGGTTGGTTTGTTGAGTTGGCTATTTCTTTCCCATTATGAGACTAGTGTCTTGGGCTGCTATAATTTGTTTGGACATAATTCTCTTTCATTGTAAATAATCTCCTATTAATTGACCAAAAAGTAAAAAAAATCTATCTCTTAAAATTTAAAATTCAAATAATTCTATAACTTTTCACATAGGAGTCACAAGCTCTAACAAATAAAGGCAATTTACTTGGTTTAAAAATGATTATTAAGTGCATCTCTAATGAACTCTCTACTATCCCTAAAATAAAAACCATGTTTGCCTCAAATTCTATCCGCTAATAATTTGGCACAATTCAATATTGTTTGGCATGAATTAAAATAACACTTTTATCCTTTTTTTTTTAATGTCTTTTTTAAGTTACATCAACTCTTTATCTTTTTGTATATCTTTTTGTAAAAAGTTAAAAAATATACTAATTTAATACATCTCAAACAATCACTCAGCCTATGAAGACCCCCCTTATGGAAAGAAAGGGTTTGATAAGCAACAAGTCAGTGATGAACAAAGTTAAGATATATTTTAATTTCCTGCACATATTCCTAATCTAACTAAAAACAAAGGGGAAAAAAAAGTTAGTTCCTACTTAATTTTCTTCTTTTCATTCTTTTTTATTTAATTTTGTTTTATAAATTTAAAATTCAAACACAACTTCAAAAGTAGTTATGTTAGTAATGATACATGTATTTTTGTTATTATTGGTGGTCAATTTCATTTGTATTGAGTTATGCACATCAATTAACTATTGTCAATTCTAGGTCTACCTAATATTCTTTACTCTTTTATGGTTAAAAATAACAAGCTCCGATTCATAGGTTTACAAAAATATGATTAAGCAAACATATGCTTAAGAGTTGAGTAATGTTCGTCAACCAACACACCAGAGGGATAAAAATAAATCTAAAGTAAATAAACAAAATTTACAGTATGAAATATAAATGGAAGATGAATAATAGATCCCACATGTGGTAGACTACACATGTAAATCTATCCGTTATTAATGTTTCATTATGTAAAAATCTTCTATTTTCAAAAAAACAACAGTAGAGGAGTCGCATTCACACGGTTTTATGACCTAACACATGATGAGGGTAGATGCCATGGTGGGCCAACATTACAGCAAATCCATCACCTTGATATTCACAATGGTTATGGTTTTTTTTTCTTTTTTTTTTTGGCCACTTTTTGGTACCAAATGCCATTGATGATGAAAACATGATCTCCTTTTCCCATTCCAGCTTCATCTGTTTAAACTGCATTATTTGCCCTTCCACAGGAAGCTATGGTCCCCTCATAACTTTAATTATAATATAATAATGCACCAAGTAAAGCAAAGCTCCCAATCCAAAAAGAGGGAAACAAAAAAAAGAAAAAGAAAAAGAAAAAGAAAAGCTAAGTCAAACAAAATTCAAGACTACTTCATGGTAATATTTTCCCTCCTTCACACATTTATTATCAAAATGAGGCGATTAGTTTTTTTTTTTTTAATTAGATAATTTTGTTGTGGGTCAATCAAGCATATTTGGGAAGGGCTGCAGAGCGTGCAAATCATGAATTAGCACTTTGACAAACTCCCAACATATATATATATATATATATTTTGTCAACCGTCTGGAGAATAATTACAATTATGTGACATATTATATCGTCAAACAGATTACTAATTTGCAATAGTTAAAAAGTCAACAAAATTTACTTCGAAACATAAGCTCAAGCCCAACAACCTCCATAATGAGGAAGAAATAAACATTATCACAATAGATATCAAACTCTTTTTTTATAGAAGTTGAACTCGAGACCTCACACCACAAAAGATGTTATACAATTACTAAACCAAATGCCGTGATTAAATCCCCAATATTGAAAGAGTTAATTACATCAATATTTCTTTGGTAATATTATTTTATTCCACTTTTTTAAAAAATAAATAAATTTGTATCTCTTGATTTGTAATTATAATCATTTTCATCATTTTATTTGCATTTTTTTATAATTGAAGGGTTAAATATATGAATTTATAAATAAAAATATTATAATAATATTCACAAATAATTAAAGTAGATGCCGATATAATTAATCCAAATTTAAAACAACCCAAGTACTAGAGGGTTTAAAAATAAAAATAAAAAATTGAGGCTATAGGCCATCATAGTGCTTTTTAGATAATTTTTGAGCGATAATTTTTATGTTTTTTTAATCAAAATATTCACAATCTTTAAGTCATGTCTTGATATTTTTACATTCAAAATTTTTACATAATTTAATAATTATAAATATTTTAAAACACAAAAATACATAATTAAAATAAAGAATGTTTGGCCTATTTTTGAGATTCACACATACTCTCTCTCTCTTAAGTGACATTGTTAGTACCGAGATGCATCCAATTTAAGACTGATTGGTTGAGAGAAAAAAAATTTGTCAAATTTTAGTAATTGCTAAATTTGACACAAGATTTAAGTGTCAATATTTGGAAATTATTTTTGTCACATCATTAATGAAGAATTTTTTAAACAAATTGTTAAATTTTAACATATGATTCTAGATGATCAAACACTTAACACCACTGTAATTTACCCCATCAAATGTCACCCATGTATTTACATTATTATCCATAACACTTTTTTGGACTAAGCACCATGTCTCTGTCATTTTTCAATTTGCCCAACTTTATCTTTAAAAGTTATGCTTTAAACTTTAGTGCCATTTTCCTTACAATGCCCCAACTTCCAAAGTAGAATAAATACAAAATATGAGAAGTTAAAAACTTATCTCTCATAAGGTACAATAATTTTAATTTAGCTTTTTACAAACTAATTGAGATAGTTTAATTGATTAATATTGCATATTCTCAATTGACATATCAGAGGGTTATTCTTTTTAAAGACAAGACTTGATTATTCATCTATTTCTTATTATGAACTCTTTTTGTATTATATAGAAGTTGTTAGTATTGGATTTGTGAGTATTTATCACAGAACTTTCTTAAATGATTTTTTTTTTCTTTTAATTTGACGTAATCATCTTTCATATTTGTAAAGTATAATATTATCTTATCAAGCGAAAAAAGGAAAGAATTAACTCTCTATCATCTCCCTTATTTAAGTGAATGAAGCCTAATTACAACAATGTTTCAATAATTTTAAGTCCCACAAAAAAAAAAAAAAAAAATTTGTGACTTTATAACTCTGAGATAATTACTTCATAAATATAACGTAATAGTTTTTCTTAGTTCATAATAACAACAACCAAACATAAAAAATCTAAAAGCAAAATAAAATTATAAACAAGTGTTTTAAAAGTATTAATTAATAGACTTTTAAATAATTTTATAAGTTTTTATGACATATTTTCATAAAGAGGCATGCTTGTCTCTCTTTGATGTCAGTTATGATAGAAAATCTGTGTGTGAGAGAATATTTGCAGTGCAATAGGAAAGACATGTAATTTCAGCAGATCCACACTCACAAGAATTAAAAGCACCCTTACACACACACACACACACACACACACACACTCTCTCGTAAAGTTAGAAGCACAACCCATAAACCATCATTGTCTCTCTCTCTCTTTCTTTTTTAACTTTGGTCATGTGGTTCTTTTCTTTCTTTGCAAACCATGCATATGGAGGACACTCATCATTCCACTCTGTAAAATATCCAATCCTTGGTTCCCTTGATGCTTGACACCAGAGCTCTTTCAATCATTTTCAACACTCGGGTTGAGTCATACAACAAAGTGATAAAAGAAATGGAGGTTTCATTGAACTCTTGGACTACCCAGTTGTTTGTTTGGTGAGTCTTTGTAGTTTTGGGGGTTTCAAGAAATTTTCAGAATTTGGTTTTTTAAGAAGAGCCATTTCGAGCTTGTTTGTGATCTGTGAAGTCATTTCTTTGATGGGTTTTGTCTAGGGCTAGTATTTGTAGTTAGATATAGAGGGGGAAAGCAAGGAATCTATCGTTTACCATGTTTTTTTTCTCTTTAATTCTCTGTCTGTACGAAAAAAAATTCAAAAATTTCTCTTTGAACCTGTGTTTTTCTTGTATTTTTGCAAACCAAAGAAACATTTATCCTTTTTAGGTATTTTAGAGTGAACTTTAAATCTGGAATCTGATATTGAAGCAAGTTCCATTTCTTCTAAGTTGTACTTCATGCAATACAGTGACTATTGCAATTCATGTTGTTGATATATATATATATATATATCTTCAGTTCAACATTTTGGGTTTTAACTTTGAAACCTTTTCTTTTGTGGATTTCTGAAATGAAACAAATTTCTTGAAATTTCAATTCTTCTGTCATTTTCGAGAGAAATGGATTTTCTGTCATAAGGAAAGTTTAGGCATTGGGTCCATAATATTGCTATTTTCACAGTAAATGGCGTATTTTGAGTAAATTGTGTTTTGAAATCTTGTTGAAATGGCTGAAATCAGAGTTACAAGGTTAGACCAGGGTCAAACCAAGGTCAGAAATGTTCCAATTGCAGTGACCCCAGAAGGATTCTGGTGTTGCCCTTCACCTGTTGTGTTTCAAAAGACCCTCAAAACACAAAACCCTTTGAACAAGCCCAAACCATCCCCTTCAGCACCCAAGGCCTCTTCCCAAAAGAAACAAACTCCATTAACCGAGAAAAAACCAACATCAAATCCATCACGACCAGGAATTGTGTCCAATGAACAAATAAATCCCGTCTCTGATACACCTATTGTTATTGCACCAGTAGTTACTGAGAGAATGCCACGACCCAAGGTTGAAAATTTACCAAGGAAGGTGTCAATTGAGTTTGGTGAACCGAGAACCAGTGATTTGAAGGTAGTTTTGCATGGCAAGCAGGGTTTTGCAGTGAGGTTGAGTGTTCACAAGAATATTCTTGTAGAGAATAGCAGTTTTTTTGCGGACAAATTGTCTGAACAGCAGTACTCAGGTTTACCGTGTCTTGAAATTGATGATTGTGAGGATGTAGAAATATATGTTGAAACTGTGGGACTGATGTATTGCAAAGATTTGAAACAGCGGCTGATTAAGCAAAATGTTTCACGTGTACTGCGAATCCTGAAGGTAATTTGGAGAATCATGCAATGTATTTCTTTTTACTTTTTTGCAACTATAGATTAACTGCAATATACTATGGAGGTTTTGTTTTCATAAACAGCTTGTGTTGACCTTAAGGAATAATAATTGTTATTGGTTTTGGATTTTATTTTCATTAATCTGAATATATATATGTGTGTGTGTGTGTGTGTGTGTTTCTTTTGCAATTAAAATACTTCTACTGTGGAAACTTAATCATAACGCTGACTTTTAATTGCTTTTGACTAATAACTAATACTGAAGATAGTTTTCTAATGGACCAATTTGATCAACATATGCTAGTAAAAAAATTTTGGAAAATCATATTGTATTGTTTACTTTTAGAAAACAGAAGGCTGTGCCGTGAAAAAATCATTGCTTTTATTTCAAAAAAAGTAATTAGTGATCCATCCTATGTCTCTTAGTATTAGGAAACTCCTATGGAGGCCTTGCTCCTTGTTCCAGAACCTCGCTCCTGCCCCTGTCCCTGCTCTTGCTCCTACTCCCAACCTTAAACTCCTCTATAGGGTCCTTGCTTACACATCCCTGCTCCTGCATTGTGCAACTATGTTGTGTACCTGACCAATATTTTTCTCATGTTTCTAGAAAAATATAATTGAGATGAGGATTCATCATAGTAATTTTATAAGAGATTTTTTACTTGATTTTGAAGAAATTATCCCCAAGAGTCATAAAATGTGTTTTCTTCTTCTTTTTAGTCCCTACCCCTTTGCAATCCCCATTGAGTATCAATAATTCCAATTTAGCTTTTTCCTGTTTAGTATTTTTGGAGTCTGCTTGAAAACACAAAACCTATTTCAGAAACAAAGTGCAACGGTGACACCATCCTATGTGGTGTTACCAACCAATAGAAAACTTATGGGCGTCACTAACTTAAACATGCTGTCCCCACTATTGCAATGTGAGATTTCTCATAATCACCATGTGATATCACCATTATACCCCGTATTTACTCCTATTTCTGGGCATTACTGAGATTACCCATAATACAACTTTTGATCTTCTTTCCTTTACTTTTTTTGATCATTTCCCCCCTTTATTTTAATACTTTCTTGTTTGCACATGGAAATAGAAATGCAAATCAAGGACTAAGCTCAAACAAGTGAATCAAACGGTATATTCTTTAGTTCAAAAGGACATCAAGAGCTCTTAATATCCTAAAATACATATGCTTATGTGGTTATTTATGTTGACAAGACATGAATTATTATTGTGTGTGCATGGGCCTATTCGCTCACGTGCTTGCTTGCATGCAAAACATTGCATATACTTATGATTATTTTTCTTGTTTTTTATAGTTACGACAATTGAAGAGCAAAATTCATAATAAAATCCTATCATTACTACATCTTGTTTTTGTCATGCTTATCAGAGATACGAAGAGTAGGAGTGTTAGTATTTGCTGAACTGACCATTGAGAATAAGTTTTGATTATGTATTTTTGTTACTATGCATGGTTATTAAGATTATTGTGAATATCCAATCATATAGGCTTATATTCATCTGATTTTTATTGGCTTCCCGTTCAATATGGCGAGACAAGTGGCCAAGGTAGAGCAGGAACTTTGACTTCTTTTTTTTTTTGTGTGTGTGTGTGTGTGGAAGATTTGTTTCTTTTAGGAGAAGCAAATGGAGATAAATTTAGTATTATTAGTTGTTTTTTCTTTCTTCGTCATCTGATAACATTATAATTGGCAGAGAGATCAATAATATTTTGAATGAAAACAAAGATTCTTGCATTAACAGTTATGATCCTTCTACTATACTGGTATCTTTTCCCTCATTGAACATAATATTTTTTATCAGCAATTAAGAGAGTTTATCATGAGAAGATAACCTGTTATGTTTTAAACTAATTGATGTTTCCTTCTGGTCACCCGATAACCGCATTGCTTTAGAAATGTCCATGGAGTGATTTAATGCTTTAGTGCTATGCTTTTATAAACATTTTGATGTCTCCTTCTCATATGCGGCATGGTTTGTGAAAGCCAATATTGCCATAAAAAACGTCATAGTAGCATGAACATAGGCTTGTACGGCAACTTGAGGTTCTTGTTGTTGCTACTAATTATTATGCAAAAAGCTTAAGCTATTAGGGATTAGGGCTGGTATAAATTCAAGTATTGTTTTCATCCACGTGCCATCTCATGTGTGGTCAGACTCTCTTTCCTGTGGACTGTGTTTCATGGACTCTTCTATTCCGCCCAAAGTACTTGTGTCCACTGAATATATAGTTACGACAATTGAAGAGCAAAATTCATAATAAAATCCTATCATTACTACATCTTGTTTTTGTCATGCTTATCAGAGATACGAAGAGTAGGAGTGTTAGTATTTGCTGAACTGACCATTGAGAATAAGTTTTGATTATGTATTTTTGTTACTATGCATGGTTATTAAGATTATTGTGAATATCCAATCATATAGGCTTATATTCATCTGATTTTTATTGGCTTCCCGTTCAATATGGCGAGACAAGTGGCCAAGGTAGAGCAGGAACTTTGACTTCTTTTTTTTTTTGTGTGTGTGTGTGTGTGGAAGATTTGTTTCTTTTAGGAGAAGCAAATGGAGATAAATTTAGTATTATTAGTTGTTTTTTCTTTCTTCGTCATCTGATAACATTATAATTGACAGAGAGATCAATAATATTTTGAATGAAAACAAAGATTCTTGCATTAACAGATATGATCCTTCCACTATACTGGTATCTTTTCCCTCATTGAACATAATATTTTTTATCAGCAATTAAGAGAGTTTATCATGAGAAGATAACCTGTTATGTTTAAACTTATTGATGTTTCCTTCTGGTCACCCGATAACCGCATTGCTTTAGAAATGTCCATGGAGTGATTTAATGCTTTAGTGCCATGCTTTTGTAAACATTTTGATGTCTCCTTCTCATATGCGGCATGGTTTGTGAAAGCCAATATTGCCATAAAAAACGTCATAGTAGCATGAACATAGGCTTGTACGGCAACTTGAGGTTCTTGTTGTTGCTACTAATTATTATGCAAAAAGCTTAAGCTATTAGGGATTAGGGCTGGTATAAATTCAAGTATTGTTTTCATCCACGTGCCATCTCATGTGTGGTCAGACTCCCTTTCCTGTGGACTGTGTTTCATGGACTCTTCTATTCCGCCCAAAGTACCCGTGTCCACTGAATATCCAAAGGGTAGAAGTGTGGGGTGTGTTTGACACCCATATCCAATTTAGACACTTAGATCCTCTAAATTTTTATGATGTTTGAAAAAGAGGAAACTTTCATTTACTAGTAAATAAACATTTCTAATCTCTGACATAGATGAGAGATAAAAAAAATTATATTTTTCCTAAATTCTATTTAAGTACATTTCTACATAATTTATAATATCTTATCTAAGAATATTACAAAAAATGCAATATATAAGTGTGTTCATGACATGTCTCCATACCCATATCCAACTTTTAAATACATCTCCCAATATCTTAAGATTTAAGTTTAACCTATACCCGATACTCATACCTCTGTTCATGTAATATAGCTGGTGGGCAAAACCTGTGCTTGCATTGTAATTATCAGTAAAGTAGCAGGGACCAAGCTTAGAGAGGAGTTAACTTAAGCATGTCACCGACCATATCATGCGTTTACATTCTAATAAGTGCTGTTTTGCTAGGACTTAAGCGAGACATAGTTCTCTAGTTATTTAATTCTCACTTTCACAAAACTCGTACCAAAAGAGAGCTCCATAGTTAGGTTTTTTCCTTTTGCTAAATGTTTAGAATATATTGAATTGTATGCTCAAGTAATCTTTACTGATATTTCGATTAAGCACCCAAAAAATGTTAAAAATTTTATGCACTGCCTTTTATAGATTGGGTAAGTAGATATTTTATGTTCTCATCTCAATTGTATCGTTCTGTAGGTTGCAGAACAGCTTGGGTTCAACTTGTGCATACAGTCATGTTTGGAATACTTGGAAGCCACCCCTTGGGTCGGTGACGAAGAAGAGGAAAAGGTGGTTTCTTCAGTCCTCCGTCTTCAAGGGGAGGGTATTGGGGTCAACCCCGTCTTAAAACGAGTGTCTTCCAATACTTCAAATCCCCCCAAAGACACAATTTCTCACATATTGGAACTTGTGCTTAATAGCAACGAGGAGAGAGGCCGACGTGAAATGAAATCTGTAGTCCTGAAGCTACTTAGGGAAAACAGCTGTCTTCCAAGCTCGTCAGGCGTGGCTGACATTTGCAATGAAACAATTTACAGCTCGTGCCGAAATTGCTTGAATTCACTGTTGTCTCTGTTCAGACAAGCTTCACGTTGCAGAGTTTGCAGATAAACCCATGGATAGCAGAGAACCCGTGGTGAAACAGATAGCTCTAGATGCCGATAACCTCTCGTGGTTGCTTGAGATTTTAGCAGACAGGCAAGCAGCAGATGAGTTTGCGGTAACATGGGCTAGCCAGGAAGAGTTGGCGTTGCTTCACACAAACCTTCCAATTGTGTCTCGCCACCACGTTAGCTTCATCACAGCAAGGCTTTTCATTGGAATTGGAAGAGGTGAGTTGCTTCCATCCAAGGATACACGTCATTTGTTGTTACAAACATGGTTAGAACCGTTGATTAATGACTACGGATGGTTACAACATGGGCGGAGATCGTTTGACCGGAAGCTCGTGGAGGAGGGAATTGGGAGGACAATCCTCACACTGCCGCTAGAGGACCAGCAGAGAATCTTGCTTGGTTGGTTGGGAAGTTTTTTGAAGGCAGGTGATAATTGCCCTAATCTTCAGAGTGCTTTTGAGGTATGGTGGCGGAGGACTTTCATTAGACCATATGTCGAGCAAGGGAATCTAAGTACTAATGTGAGTGAGGGAAGCACTTGAACTTGAAAGGAATGAGATCTAGCTGGTGAACTGTTTGAAGTTAAAAGAGTGACATGATTTGGATAATTTCTTCACAAGAAATTCCGAAATGGGGATGGTGAATGTGGGTTTTTTGAGTGCTTGATGTTGTAGAAATTTGTGGCAGGAATGTAATATCAAGATCTTTGGTTGTGTGAATTTGATTTTTGTTCATAGCTGGACTGCTATAATTTAAAGAGAATGGTTTTTCTCCTAATTGAAATTTAGTTATACATAGTTTTGCGTAGTTTGTTCTTCTGATGTATGCTATACAGAAGGATGTGAATGCTTCACATAAGTTGTTTTCTTGACTCTTTTGAGTTGTGTTTACTTAAAAAGTATTTGCTCTTAGCTCGACTCAATGCTGACCATTAAATTGAGATGTTATTTAATAGTTTTAAAATATTACTCCACACTATATATTACATAACACTAGTTAATTTGTCCCAATATCCCTACAATTTTGCCCCTTAGATCCAATGACCTCAGCTATTGAAGTTGCACACCATCATAGACGTACCTATTTGATGCAATTTAAATAGGCTGTTCATGGTTGGATTCTGGGCCAGACCATTATTATTATTATTATTTTTATTATTATTATTTTTATTTTTTGTTTTGGGTAGGTTATTGTCTTTTGGTTTCAAATCTAGTGGAGCTCGACCTATATTTGAGATCTGCTTTATTGCCTTCTGGTTTCAAATAAATGATAATGCATTTGAACCTATGCTTTTAATGATCTAACCTTTTAGTTTTCAGTAAAAATCTATGGATTCAGAAAATTAGTTCAACCAGAGTTGTTGTTGTTGGAACTTGGATGGTATATATATATATTCAATTTTGTGCAGTGCGATCTACTATTGAAATGTATCTTAACCGTTCAATATTTTTCCTAAGTAAATTTTTTAAGTCCTTCACATTGGTGTTTAGTTTTAGATCTAGATTATTTATGAAAAAAAAAACATATTTATATGATATTTTTAGATTCAAGCCCTCAATTTTGCGGAACACATCAAGTCCTCATTATTTTTAGAATCAATTACACTATTAGTTATTTTAATTTGAACAACATAAACTTGGGGAAGCATCAATAAATTCTAAAATGTAATTTTGTGAACTGTTTGGTCTTTTTTTTTTATTTTTATTATTATCCAAAGGTCCCATTAAAGTGAAAATTCTACAAAAGGATAGTCACTTATACATTTGGATTTAATTTTTGAGGGATAAAAGTAGATTTTTCCAAATGTAAAATTACATATTTAGGCAATCTGTATTATAGAAGTTTTGAATTTTTCATCCTTCTGGAACAAATATTACATTACGAATAAGAACATAACACTCCAATGTAATACACTAAAAAACTCTTTAGTATACTTTTCCAAACGTAACACTCCAATGTAACAAACTCCAATTTAACACACAAAAAAGCGCGTTAATATACTTTTTTCAAACATAACGCTCCAATCAATGTAATATCAAATGTCACACTCTAATGTAGCATACATAAAAATACTAAAAAATTACTTAATGTATTCTTTTTTTAAACGTAACACTCACAGTTTGAAATTATACAATTACCCAAAACTTACTAGGAGTTTTTTATACTTCTTTTTGAATGGTTTGAAGAATACCACATCATTTTTTTAAAGTGTTACATTAGAATATTACGTTTGGAAAAAGTACACTAATTTTTTTGTGTGTGTGTTACATTGGAGTATTATACTAAGGACCTTTTTTGAAGTATTACATTGAAGTGTTACGTTTGAAAAAACATATAATAAAGAGTTTTTTTGGAGTGTTATGGTTGAATGTTACAGATTGAATTATACATTTGTTCAAACCTTGCTAAAGAATTTTTGTACTCCTTTTGAAATATTTGAAGAATCTCACATCCTTTTATAATATTTGAAGAATTTCATATTTCAAGTCATTTTTGTACTCCTTTTAAAATGTTTGAAAAATCTAACATTTCAAATTATTCCAAATAAAAAACATTCTCATATAAAAATTAATCTCAAATATGATTCTTATAAGTGGTGTATCTTACCTTTGTAGTACAGAAGGAAAAAAAATGAAGAAAATATAATAGAAATAAGGGTATAAAAAAAAACAAAAAAAAAACTCTTGGAATTAATCGGATCATCATTCCTTAAAAAGAGATTTATGAGTAAATTTCCCTATAAACTTTACACTTTTAATTTTATGGGATCGCAAAATTAAATAGATCAAAGTGAAATTTTAAAAGAAACTATAAAAAATATTAGTTTATGTAATAAATAACATAAGTAATCTCTCTAATTTCTTTTGAGTTCTATTTTGGTCTCTTTGATTTTGAATATAATTTTTGCAGTTCAAAATATTAACAATAGAGAAATAATATTATCACAAAATTGAAAATATAAAATTCAAATGGGTCATTTTTTGATAAATCTTCTAAGTGTTTTATTCCATCCGTGACACTCTGAATGTTAATTAAATATCATATGAATACTTATAGTTATATGTAATTGTGAGTGTATGTGATAATATATTATTAAATAAATAATAATAAAAACAAAATCTAATTTGGCATTAGATTATCAAATATGAGATTAATTAGGGATTATTATTTGGGCCAAATTAATAGAAATATGAAATTATAATTGGACCAATTTAGAGTTAAAGATAGTAAATAAATAAATATAAAAGTAAGAGTAAATAAATAATAATAATAGTGGATGTGGTAGCAAAATAAATAATTAATTTTCTACTGGTAGTAGTTTAATTGGGAATTAATTTATTTATATGGTTATTGGGCAAAAGTGTAATTACTATAAATATTTACTAAGATAAGTATAAATCTATGGTTATAATGAGCAAATCCAGGTGAATTATGAACCAAATCCAAAGGAGGATTCGAGATCGGCCACGTATTGGTCTCAGGACGCTTTTGCTTCCCTATAAATGGGGAAGAATTGATCAATATCCGTGGAGTTGTTGAGATCAGTGGGAAGAAAACAAAAAGAAAAGAAAGAAAAGAAACGAAAGAGAGAGGCACGTATGTACTGAAAGTAAGAAACTTATAGTAGGAAGGTTGTGATAGTGGAGTAAGGTTAATGGTCAATATTAAGGTGAGTTATATTATACCTTGAGGTACCATAAGATATTTTACGTATGTTTTGACTTTCCATAATTTATTTTATACAAGTTATGTTTATAAATTATTATAAATGATATTAATATTTCAACTACGTGGGTTATTTTCTGAACTCTATTTGTTTAAAATGAAATTCATGGATACGTTTGTTTAAATTTTAGTATATATTTGACTATGACCTTATAAATAATTATGTTTTGTAAGTACCACCATGGTAGTCCCACGCCTTGGGGGACTTAAATAACCATTGGCCTTTGTTTGGCCACTTCGTGGTCCTCTGTTTGTCATGGATCCATTGACCTCTGTTCTGATTGTCACTTCTGTGACCTCTGTTCTGTACCGTGGTTATGATTATTTATTTACATTTCAGTTTTCTGCCACTTAAATAATTTATATACCAAATTAAGTTATGTAAATGTTTTGGCTTAACTAACTATACATGATTATTTTGTATTCCTTATACTCTTGGCATAATATTTCTCACTCAGCTGTGTGTTTATAGTTGTTACCCTTTCAGGTGACGAAATGTAGGGGAAACCCATAACCTCACGAAATAGAACCCGCACGTGAATTGATATTGAACCACTATTTTGTCTTTATATATATATATATATTTTTGCAAATAATATTTTGTGTCAAATAATATGTATATTAAAAAATTTAGATTTTTGCAAATAATATTTTAGATATCATCAAAATTAAATAATATGATTAACAACCTATTTGGCAGTGTGGTCAAAAAACAACATACACAAAAAAATAAGAAGAATAAAAAAGAAAGTAATTTAGCATTTAAAAAAATCTCAATACCCTTGAAAAAATTAAGAAGAAAAACGTGAAACGCAAAATTGTTATTGGGTTTGTGGATTATCTCAATTTATCATGAGAAATATATGAAAAAGAATATTTGTCAAATAGAGTCCATATAAAATAAGTAGAGTTAGTATAATTTAAATTAGGTTTGGGTTTGTGTAGTAATTAAGAAAATACATGATGACGTGACTCTCTTAGAAAAAAATGAACCCTTATAATGTACTACCTAAGCATGGAAAAAACACCACTTTTAATAATATACTAGCAATTGACCCGTGTAATGCATGTGCTAATTTTTTTTTTCAAAAAATATTTGATGGTACAATATGTGTTATAAAAGAATAATATGAATATAAATTTAAAATTAAAATTAAAGTATGATTTTAATTATTTATTTTGATGATATTGGCGATATCGTTCTATAAAATTGTTACTTGAATACTTATATATATATTAATTTTAGTTAAATTAATTGTGTATTTTTGATAATTTTAGTTATATCGTATTATAAAAGTGTAATTATCATATAATAATTTTTTATGATAGATATTAAATTATAAAATAGTAAAATAAATATTCATTTTGATATTAGAAATAATAATTAAATTAGAAGAAGAATTGGCAATATAAAATAATATAAAATTAAAAAGTAATTCTAACTATATTTTTCTTTTATATTCATTTATAAAATAAAAATATGTAAAAATAGAAATTATATAAAATTTATTGAAAATATTAAATATAAATATGTTATAGTTGAATTATCATATAATAATTTTATATGATATATATATATTAAATTATAAAATTGTAAAATAAATACTCGTAATTAAATTAAAATTTCAACTATATAAAATAAATTCAATAACGACTAACCAAGAAATAATCATATAACAACAACTAAACCAAATAATAATAATAATAATAATAATAATAATAACAATGAAAACATCGAAACAATAGATACATCTCAGTGTGTGAAGTGGTTAATCATCTGTAATATGATACCAAAATATAAAAGAACTTAGTATTTAACAATTGAAAAAGTAACTAAAGCAGTAAATCAAAATTTTAGGAGTTCCTCAAGAGTATTATTGTTGTGTAGGTTTTTCCTCATATAAATTGTGATTATATAAAATAATGTAAGAAATGAAGTATAATTCCATATATAGAATTAGTATAAAATTTAAACGAAAAATCCATAATATAGAATAAAATATAATTGATATTGGGTATAGAATAATGCACAGGATAATAAGGGGAAGAAGAAAAAAAAAACAAGACAATTTAGCAGTAAAAAAAATCT